TTTTTTTTAACGTGAGCACCTTCCTGCTAACTGAAATTTAAATTTTGGAGTTTTGATGTAATATAGTTTTTCAACTCTAGCTACATATGATACTAGTACATGTGGTAATGATATTTATTCTCAAGAACACTGTTCAGAAGCTGTATAGCATAACTTTTGGTAACCTTTTCTTCTCAAATATTTGTTATTATTTGCAGATGAAATATTTACCCATCAGCACAAATAAAGTTAATAGTACATTACATTCTTTACTCCTTTTCGGTCAAGTTTAGATTCAATGTGGCAATGCTGACCTTAACTTATCTACGTGGATTTCTAATGCTGTGAATTGATCCGATTGTTTAAGGTACTGACTTGCCACAAGAATCTTCATACTAAGGTGGATAATTGTCACAGACACCCTAAAAACACCATTTTAATAATACCCCAGAATGTTACTGAAGTTTTTGTTTAATAAAGTTCAGTTTATTAGTAGTAGAAGTACTGGTTTGACATGGTAGAGTTATGAAATTGTTTGATACGTGTAGTTGAGCTTTTACAATGAGTAGTCCTATTTAATAAATAAATATTCATTTTGTCACTGTTAATCATCACGTAGTAGCAGATTAGTAACTGCGGTCTGTCATCTTTGGTGGGAAATAGACATATATAAATTCTGGAACCCTTTTTGGGCTGAGGGTGGTAATAAGTGCATATGCATGAGTGTTTTAAGAAAAATGGACTGTAAAGGAAACACAAGCAATATTTATTTTTGTGAGATAATTCACAGATCCCAACCAAACTTCTTAGCTTTAGAACATTAAAATATGTATACATAAGTTGTTGCTTATATGCTTAATGTGTTTGCTGTTGAGTAGCGATAAATAAAAACAAAGGTACGTGTGATCCATTAGCTTTGCTCTTTTCCCATGACTACTCTCTTCCCTTTTGTTCTTTTATTCTCCTCCTCTCCTTGGGAAGTGAGAGTAGTTTGACTAACAGTCTACAGTCCTGGTTCTGATAATCACCATCTGTATTACTCAGGGCTCTCCAGAGAAACAGAAGCAACAAGATGTCGATAGGTAGGTAGGTAGGTAGCGAGAGCTTTATTTTAAGCAATTGACTCAGGTGATTGTGGAGGCTTGGTAAATCCAAAATCTGCAGAGTAGGCCACAGGCTGGAATTTAGGAAAGAGTTGTAGTTCTAGTCTAAAGGCAGACTGCTGGCAGAATTCCTTCTTGTTCAGGGGAGGTCAATCTTTGTTCTATCAAGGTCTTCAATTTGTTGGATGAGGTTTACCCACCTTAAGGAGGGTAATCTGGGCTGGGTGTGGTGGTTCACGCCTGTAATCCCAGCACTTTGGGAGGCTGAGGCAGGGGGATCACTTCTGTGAGCTAGGCTGACGCCATGACACTCTAGCCCAGGCAAGAGAGTGAGACTCTGTCTCAAAAAAAAAAAAAAAAAAAAGGAAGATAAATTCTCACTGAGATGATTAATGGAGAGAATTTGAGGAGATGAACTACTTAGAAGATATAGATAAAAAATGCCTCAGTGGAGGTGAATGGTGGAGGCGATGCTGGCAGAGACACTTGGCAAACGCAGACGATTGCGGAAACTGGGACTTGAGGGGCTTGGTTCACAGAGACCACGACTGAAGAACTCCATCCCAGCTCTTTCTAGCTGACTTCGCTAAGGCTTTTGATTTAAAGTCTACCCTGTACCTCGCTTGCCTGTGGCCCACCCCACACCCCAATCAAGTCACTGACCCTTGTTCATTCTGTCCCAGCAATATCTCTCAAGGTTGCTCCCCTCCTATCCACCCCAGGGGACATTTGCTTTTTCTGGCCCCACGTGTTCTGACTTACCATCCTCGTCCATTCCCTTAGCTCTAGTCTTTCCTGCTTCCAACAGACCTCTGCATATCTGAACATCAAGGAATGGCTCTCCAATGTCTTATAAAAAAGACATAAATAAGATCTGATTAGCTTTGCCTGTGGGAGTCTCTGCCATCTGCCTTCAACTAACTTAAATCAGGCACATGTTTTAGTAGATATGGTTTCTGATAGAGAAGAAATCATTCAATTTAGGGCAAACTTTTCCAAGACCAAACCATCTGAGGCTCATAAAATGTCATTTCCAGAAAAGGACTTCCCTTTCATGGGAAATGCCTTGGTCTGAGTCTTTCCAAAAGAAACCCAGTGTAGACTAGTTGGTGTACCATTTTTGTACCATATTACCTGTAATGTACTTATTTTATTCATAATTCACTTATTTATATGTAGGCCTACCTCCCTTATCAGCAAATCCACAGAAGAATCCTTAGTAAATGGGCTTCTAGTGATGGATACTCATGTTGTTTGTAGTTTTTATATATATTATTTTGAAAGCCCGAAGTTAAACTTCTGTATTACACATTTACATGCCTATCTAATTATCTCCTTGGGCCAGACTGCCTTCTGGAAAGATTATACTAGCTCACATTCCACCAAATGTACTTGAGTGTTGGTTTTAGCACATCCTTGTTGACCTTTACCACTTTTGACAATTTGTTAACTGAGAGTGATGTCTCCCTGTTGCTTATTTTAATTTTATTTTTTTAGAGACAGGGTCTTGCTCTGTTGCCCAGGCTGGAGGTCAGTGGCACAATCATAGCTCCCTGTAACCTCGAACTCCTGAGCTCAAGAGATTCTCCTACCTCAGCCTCCTGAGTAGCTGGGACTTACAGGAGCACACCACCACACCTAGCTAATTTTTAAATTTTATTTTAAAATGGGGTCTTGCAGTGTTGCCCAGCCTAGTCTCAAATTCCTCAAGTGATTCTTCCACTTCTGCCTCCCAAACCACTGGGATTACAGGTGTGAGCCACTATGCCTAGCCGTTGTTTATTTTAAATTTTTCATTAATTAGTGAGAGTTGAATTAGTTTCATGCTTATTGGCAATTTTCATTTTTTCTTTTCTGCATGGCTTCTGAGTTATTTGTGCATTTTTATACTGAAATAGTCATCATTTATTAGAGATTGAGAGTTTTGTGTATTAGGGATATGAATATCTGTTTGTGTATGTTGCAACTATTTTTCTCAGTTTGTTATTTGTTTTTTAGCCTTTCTCAACAAGAATTTCCTGAGAGAATTAAACCTGAATTCCCTATTGTACATAGTGAATTAACTTTTGTCTTAAACATCTACAGTGATACCAGTTGTGTAGAATTGGTAGGATTTAGAAATCAGTCACTCGGTTCATTTTCTGTGTTCTGCACTTCAGATCAGGTATCCCAGGAGAGAAATTTGTCTTTGCTTTTACTGGCTTCCCCCTGTGTTTTTTTCATTATTTGGATCAAATGTTATGCCTTGAATCATCTGGAATGTATTTCTCTATGTGCAGTAAAATAGTCCATGTAATTTCGTGACCCTCAATCAGAGAGCTAGTTGCTCCAATATCATTTATTTAATAGTCTAACTTTGCCCTGCTGATTTGTAAAATCATATATTTTCATATACTGAATTCTCATACATTCATGGGACAGCTGTGGACTCCTAATTCTTTTCCATCAATTAATTTCTCTATTCTGGTACCAATACCACAGTGTTTTAATTATTGAAAATTTAAGGATTATTGATACCTTTAAAATATTTAATTTTCTTATCCAAACACAAGGTATAGCTTGTCATTTCTTCCAGACTTTTCCTATGTCCTTCAGGAAAGTTATTTTAAAAAAAATAATAAATCATAATATGCATTTTATAAATTACAGAAGTCATATATGCTCTTTGTAATGAGTCAACTCAAAAGAAAAAGACTATACATATACATACACACACACACACACCCCTGGATTAATTATAAAAACTTCATGTTAAAAATTTTTTTCAGAAAATAACTTTGATATATTATATCCTTTATGTAAAGTTTTAAATATGCAAAATAAAAATGTAAAAATGATTATATGTTTACTTTTGCATAGTATATGTTAGAGTGCACAGAGAAGACACACACATGAAGACATGTACACAAATGACAAGCACCAGCTTCAGGAGGGGAAAGCACAAAGTAACCCAGGAGATGCACACAGGCTACTCAGTCCCATCTGGGGTACCTTTGTGTTTGTTGTATTAGTTAGTCCTAGCACTTTTTTGAATGTCTGAAATATTTTATAATAGATATTTAGGTTAGTGATCTCACCCACTAATCCTTATCCAATGTCACCATTAGGAGATAAACAACTTTGTGTGTTTCTTTCCACAATTTATTTATGCTCACAGAAAAAATACAAATATACACACACTAATGTTTTTTTCCTTTTTAAAAATAATCATGGGATTCTACCATATATATTAACTCCTTAATGTCTTTTTAAAATTAACAGCCTGAGAACATCTTTCAAGTGGATCATAGGATTTTCTTGTTTTCGTTGCTGTTCAGTGGCAGTTCCATGGGCCACTTAACTATCCTCTGTGATTCATGAGTCAGAGTTGGTTTGGCGTTTTGTTTTGTTTTACCACCACCAATGCCACTGTAGTTGTATTATTAAAAGATACTTTTTAAAAGAAGGTAAAATCATGACTCTCAGAGATATAAAATAAATGTGTGTTAAATATTTTATTTAACTCATTATTAATGAGGTGATA